TGGTTTAAATTGGTTTGAAAAGGGATTATTTTGAGAATATTGTGAATAAGGTTCATATTTTAATTGTGACGGAAGTGATAATTTTGGTGGTTGTAGTGATTGTGGTGTATTTTGTATCTCAGGTTTTTCTTTTTCTGTAAACGGTTTTGATGAAGAAGAAATTGGAAGGGACGGTGATTTAAATTGGTCTGAAGAGGGATTATCTTGCGGATATTGTGAATAAGGTTCATATTTCACCTCGGAAGTTTTAAATTGCGATGGATGAGATAATTTTGATAGTTGTGGTTGCTGTTGATTTGCTTTTAAAGAAAATTGATTCTGATATTCATTTGATAAAGAAGAAATAGTCATCGAGACCGACTGCGGTATTTCTTTCTCATTTTTTGGTGGTGTACTAAATTGATATGACTGAGGTTTAACATGTTGTGTCTGTGATTCTGTTGGTTGCTTTTTAGTTAATGGAAATGTCGATTGACTTTTCTGATAATTTGGTTGGTTGTAATTTGTGTTTATATAGTTGTGATTTGGGTATTGTGTATTTGTTGATTGATATTGTACACTGTTTAAATTTGACTGTGACGGCTGTTGTTTTTTCAAATGGTCTTTCATTACCAAATTCTTTTCATCTATCTGAAAAGGGTTTTGCAAATTTTGTTGTTCTTGAAAATTGTATGATTGTGGCTCTTTTGGAGTTGTTAATTGCTGTCCATAATTAATTTTTTGATGATGATTAGGATCTATTATGTTTGGTTGTAATCCTTGAGAATTAGAGCTATATGCATTATATTTATTTGTCGTTCCTAGATTTACTGGTTGTTGGTCTGTCCATGAGTTCAACATTCCATTATTTACTGGTGTACCATAAAGTACTGGATTTATGGGATTCGTTGTCGAACAATTGATAGCAAAAAGCTAAAATCAAATACGTAAGTTATACTATGTTAATTTGTTATTATTTGTAATTTTTTTTTTTTTTTTTTTAATACTCAATAATTTGAATGTTTCGGGTGAAAAAAATAATTTGAATGTTTCACTGGTTCAATGTGTGATCTACTAATAAATGACTATATACGATAAAGTATTGTAGGTAGAATGTGTAATCTTCCGATAAAAGATACCTATATTTCACGCTACAGTGCTATACCTATATAATTATCGATATATATGATTTTTACTACTGTATTGTATTTTTAAAATATCATTTTGACATTCAGTTACCATTTAGCGTTTATTTGTATCATTTTATTTGTTGGTGAATTTTTTTAATTTTTTTTTTCACGCGTGATGTTTTGATTTAATGTTATGTATGTTTTGGACCTTAAATTAATACAGAAATATAATTATCGATGAAGTAAAATGCGTTGAATATTTAAAAAGTAAAAACCTTTTAAGTAACAATTGTTTGGTTTATAGCAAAAAAGAATATTCATGACACCGAATGTGGTAGACAATTACGTGAAACAACAAAAATTCATTTTTTACTTACATAGACCTCAATAGTAAATTTCATAGTAATTTAGCTCCATCAAAAATAATAGCACTTTTCTGGTACTTAGTATATATGATACCAGTACATTATGCAGTTTTATGGATAGGTAGAAGTAAATCCACTGTAATTTATTGGTAAAATTGATGCCATAACGCGGTTGTTGATCAGTTTTCAAAAAGACTAAAAATGGGAGGTCCTGGTTACATTGTACAGATAGATGAATCCTTCGTTCAAGGGAAACGAAAATTTTATCGCGGTCGCTTATAACATGGTGATTGCGGCCCACATAAAGCAAGGGCGTATTTGAGTTGAGACCATGGGAGGAGCGAAACTAATTTTTCTTCAATACAAATTTAAAAATAATTTACAGTTCATTACCTATAGCTCATGTTCCTGTTATAATGATAGACCAATTTATATTTTTAATTATTTATATATTACATTTTTTAAATAAATAAATGTATTATATTCAAAAAAAAAATACGAGCCAGGGGGGGGGGGGGCAGTGGCGCTGAACCTATATGTTAGGTGTAGCGGTTGCCACACCTAATTTAGAGGGTGGGTACCCACTAGCATTAGTAGGTTTTAAGTATAAAATAACTTACAATTTTATAATTAAGATAAGAAGGAGCAGTGAACATAATATTACAAATAACGCGAACGGTCTATTCATAGTGTCGTAGCATGCACACTGCACCGTATCACAGTGTGATTGCGTTAGGAGAAGCAGAAAACTATATTTTAATTACGATAAATTACCAATTTTATACTTAATTTATTTATAAATCTACAACAGCGGCTACAGCTGCTAGTTCACAGTTTTTTACGCAGCAGATACAGAGTGAAAACATAATATAAACGAACACGATAGTATTATTATAATTAAACTATTGGTGTTATCCTAGATTATATATTTTTGTAATACAAGAATAATATAAATTTATATAAATTTAGATTTCTTTGATTTATTCGAACAAAACAAGAAATACATGGCAATGTGAAATCGACTATTATCATTGATTACAAATAGTAATAATAGTATAATAAATGCTATTATATATTATTAATTATTAATTTAGTATGAAAGTAGTTGAAAATAATTTATAGATTTATGGGTAATTACACTGATAACTGATAAGTTATTCAATTATTGATCACACGACGCATACTCACATAGGGTTCACTAGAGCAAATATTATTAAGTATGTACTAAATATAACAAGACGTTAAAAACATGGCGTTTGCCCTGAAATCTGTGAAATTACCGTTTTATATTATATTTATAATAAATTGTTTTTTTTTTTTTATTGACAAATGGTGTTTTAATATTTGTATTTATATTTTATTTGTTCTAAAATTTGTATGAAAATTTAAAATGTCTAGTTTGATTTGTTTATGTGACATATTGTATAGGCGCAACTAGAGCTCAAATATTTGGGATGCTGAAATTACATAGCTCACACTAACCCGTGGGGGGCTACGCCAACACTCCAAGTACCTTATCTCAATTTAATCATTAAATGTATCATAACAACACACATACACTAATATTTTAATTTATAAATATTAACAAGCATAAATTGTAACATACCTATTTACAGTCTTGTAAAGTATTTGAGTATATGTATTTAAATAATTTTGTAGTATTTAAAATCATTTTAAAATACTTTTTGATTTGAAAATTTGGGAAGTATTTTAAATACTGTTTTGGACGTATTTGTATTTGAAAATCAAATACTTTTATACAAATACTATTGAAAATTCAGTCATCTGTCATCACATTTTTTTTTTTTTTAATTATTATACTATTTTATCTTTTATCTTCTTCTGTATATATAAAACAGTAAGCTGATTGACTGCTATCAACGCACAGCTCAAATCATTCGACGGATCTGGCTGAAATTTGGCATACAGATAGCTATTATGATGTAGACGTGCGCTAAGAAAGGATTTTTCGAAATTTTGAATTTAAAGGGTTGAAATCGGTTTAATATTTTTTGACCAAGTCGATAACTGTGCTATTGAAAATGAATTATATTAAATAAAACTATTAAAAAATTATTAAAAAACAATTAAAAACTATTTAAAAACTATTAATTTTATTTTTGGTAGTAAATGAGACGGGTATTGCATAAATATTAAACAAAAAGATCCCGCAACAGGTGCCAAAACAAATAAGAATGTTAGTTCAAAAAATTATTATGCATATCGGTTGATGATTAGACGCGATCAGGACTAAGTTATTTTACGATGCATAAGCTTTGTCAACAATTCATGGTCGAAATATATATAAAGATAGATAGCGAACGATTTCGATACTTCGACTTCGATTCAATCAAAAAAAGCTGCGTGCAAAAGATTCTCAAAACAATTGTTAAATATTGGAGATGGGAAAGTTACTACAGATGAAACGGGATGTATAAAATTACCGAACGATTTCTGCACAATCATTTATTCACAAGATGCTTTCATTGACCAGATATGTCCCAGTGTACACAGACAATACTCAAACCATGAGTGGCTGACAGAAAGAGCAATTTTAGTAGCAAAAAATGTGGAGGTCAACGAATTGAATCTCAAGATACAAAATTTGTTACCAGAAAACTTGGTGTCATACAAATCTAGATACAGTTTGCGATGCTACTGAAGTTGTAAATTATCCAACAGAGTTTTTAAACTCATTGGATTTACTAAGCATGCCACCGCATAATTTACAATTGATCATTACTAGGGAACGGATTTTAATTTAGTATAAAATTAAAAATATTAAAATATATATTTGTTTATTACTTAATAAATATTTATTTATAAATGTATAATATTTAGATATTTAAATTGAAAATAACATAGAATTATTAAATAATTAATTAAAAAATATAAAAAAATTAAAAATCTATTCTGAATCATCATAGTCTTCATGTGGGAAACAGTTAGAAACAACATATAGCTTGAAATTTTCAAATGTAAAGTGGCGGCGGTTCGGTCTTAACATTGCTTTGTAACGGCTGAATGACCTCTCCACATCAACGGATGTGACAGGTGCATATTTCATACACATTATTTCTTTTGGAGTGTATTCAATTTCTGAATAATTGTTATTTGGAGTTTTGTTTAATAGTATGTCTCTTATTGACATTACAGTATTAAAACCTGTGTTTTTTTTCCAATACATTTTTTAATTTTGAATTGGTCAAAACTCCAATTTCTCCAGGAACCCGTTCTAATTGCTTTATGGCATTATCAACTATTTCTAAGCTCTCCATTAGTGGCATTTTAGAAGTTTCTAATTTTAAAATAGTATCAACCAAAAATCTAAAATTAGTCGAAATAAATGCTAAATTGTTTTGCAAATTTTTACTGTCTATGAGCTCAACAGTTTTTTTTATTGCCATTGCAGCTTCGGGATCTAAATTTAAGACTACGTTTCTAATCTTTTCAAAGTTATTTGAATAATATAATACATCTGATAACCACGTACCCCATCGAGTTATAATAGGCTCGGGAGATAGAATTAAATCCTGGTACAAATCTTTAAATGTTTGTATACGACTTGGCGCTTTTAAAAATATTTTTTTACGTTGGAAATCAACGAATCAACTTCTGAAAATTGAAATCTAATTGTTTCAGCTATACGATGAAAACCATGTACTAGACAAGTTAAATGTATTATTCTTGGATAAAATGTGTCCAACACTTTTCCCACCTTACACATATACGGCGCGGCGTCCGTTAAAAGTAAAAGTACATTATTGTGTATTGAACCATTCGGCCACAAAACACCCATTGCATTATTAAATAATTGACATATAGTTTTGTGGTTGCATTTATCTAATTCTTCACAGCACAATAAAAATGGTTTAGATGGTTCAGTGCTCAATTTTCCTACAGTAACATTTGCGATATATCGACCGTCGGCGTCTGTTGTTTCATCTACTCCAACCCAAATAGGGCCATCTCCAATGATATTTTGAATTTTCGAAATAGTTTCTTCATACACACCACTAACATAATTTTTTCTAAGTGTACTCTCGTCGGAAATTTTATGACCAGTATATTTTTCCATAAAATTTTTAAATGCAACATTTTTCAATTTAAAAAGAGGAATGTCTGAACGTATTAGTGCACGATACAAATCATCATTAAAAACTGACTTACTATTGGTAGATGCGGATGATGTAGATATACAATTTTGTTGAAATATAAGCTTTCTGTCTTTATTGCCTCTATGTTTACTGGTATTGATGTGCTGAATAACTTGACCACGTTGGTCGATAGATACTGATTTATCACAAGACTGACAGTATAAAACTTATCCATCACTCCTACAAGTTTCATTCGGAAATTCTTCCAAATAAATACTAACTTTTGACCTTTTTGTGCGAGCTACTTTGGGCATATTTAAATAGTTAACAATATTATATTA